CCACGGCCACCGAACCGGTGGTGAAAATATTTGAAACACACCACTGATTATCATTATCATCATCACCACCACCACCTTTATTGTCATTGTACAACAAAATTGATTTTGCTCCTGCTGGTGGTATACATAACAAATATAATACAACATTAATAATATATTGTAGAAAATGGTCCTTATACAAGTAATTAGGGAGAAACCAATCGTATGTTTCCATGTATGCAAGGAGTGATTGCAGTTGTATTTACAAGTCTGACAGCCGGTGGATAAAAGCTACATATTGCTACATCAGTTGCAATCATAAAATAATACAAAAACAGCCACTCTTGCTGGTATTGCTGGATTTCTCCAGTTGTCACTCATTAAATTAGTTCCTCTATTCATCTATTCTATTAACTGAGGATCAGCAAATGTATGAAGGTGTGGCCAAGAAATGTGGCTAAAACCGAAACCTAATCTGCCACAAATTTTCATGCAATCAGATTTGTCTCATACTCTAAAATGGGATTCTCCAGAGCAAAACAGGAACATAGAACACCCCATCAACATGTTTACATCCCTTGTCAAAAATCTGCTTAAAATTATATTAGAGCTCAACTAGCAGATAGTTGAAAGGATAAAGACAACATTACTTTTCAGAATACTTGAAAACTAGAAACTGTATTGAAGGAAAAGTAACCCACATAACCCACACCCAAAAGGACTCAAAACAGCTTGCCCTTACTGAGGGCAGATCATGTCACATCAATCTGATTGACTTTTTAAAACTTTGCCACCAGTATTTGGACCAAGGTGGTGCTGTAGATTTGGATATTAGCAAAGCATTTGATACATTTCCACATAGTGAATTCATTGCACAGGCTAGGGCTTAATCACTGGGTGATTCAGTGGATAGGAAGTTGGCTCATAGATAGATCTCAGTGTGTGATTGTTAAAGGGGCACTGTCTGAACAAAGGCCGCTCACAATAGGTGTATCACAAGGCTCAGTCCTAGGTCCTATTAATATATTTGTAAGTGATATAACAGAAGAATTGCTAGATAAGGTTTTTGCTGATGACATAAAGGTGTATAATAATAAAGGTGTGTGACATTCCTGGAGATATTCATAGCATGGAAAATGATTTGGCATTGCTGGAAAATTGGTCAAAAGTATGGAAACTGCAGTTCAATGTTTCTACAGTAAGTATAAGGTCATACACTTGGGGAAAAAGAATCCTCTGGCAGGGCACAGTATTGGGGGTACAGTATTAGACGGAAGGAAATGTTTTAGGTGTGGTCATGGCAGATGGCTGCAGAAAGAGCAAAACAGTATGGCTAGGCATCTTCGAACAAAAACAAACTTATGGGATGGATTACTAGAGGGATTACCAGCAGGAAAAAGGAGGTCCTAATCCTGCTATATAGGGCTTTAATCAGAGTTAGACCCCATTTGAATGCTGTGTCCTGTTCTGGAGACTTCACTTAAAAAAAGATATCAGTAAGATAGAGGAAGTCCAGAGATGGGCAACAAATATGGTGCAAGATATCAGAGACAAAACCTATTAGGAGAGATTGGAGGAACTGAATAGGTACAGCCTGGAGAAGAGAACGGAAAGTGTGTGACTGGAACATTTAAATATATTAAAGGCTTGAATAAGGTTCTAGAAATTTCTACAAGTATTTTCAATATTAAGCAAAAATCAAAAACATGGGGGGCATAAGCTGAAACTGAGAGGAGGTAAATTCAAAAGTAATGTTAGAAAGCAGAAAGAGTAGTGGAAATTTTGGAAGCAACTTCCAGTAGAGCAATGGCCAATCCTCAAGTTTGCTTGGGAAAAACACATTTCCATCATCTGACAAAATAAAAAATAAAATAAAAATTAATAAAATATAATGTGCTCATCTTCAGCTTCTACTGTCTTTCCATCTTAAAAAGGTAAAAATAAAGGTTTTCCTTATCCAGTTGTGTCTGATTCTAGGAAGTGATGCTCGTCTCCATTTCTTAGCTGAGGGAGTCAACTTTATCCAAAGACATTTCTACAGTCATGTAGCCAGCATGACTATATGTCAAGGTGCAAGGAACACTGTTACCTTTCTACTGAAGTGGTACCTGTTTGTGTACTTGCACTTACATGCTAATACTTTGCCAATTTTATAAGCAACCTTTCTAAGTAGTTCTTAAGTAATGATATCTATCTTTGCTGTCATACCCTGAACTTTAAGTCTTGATCAAGGAAAACTTTCATTTCCTTTATGCTATATAAATTACAGTTTTATCATGGAAGTGGAGGACAAAATAAATGACCCAATCAGAAATTGTGTAAAAGCATTGACTGGAATATACCATAGGTGGCCAAAGATTTTTAGAGCACCTGTCTCCAAGATTTCTTGCCCTTGACTGGAGCCCTTGGACAACCCTTTAGAACATTAAATATGCATAAATAAAATATGAAAGCTTTGAAAATCTATAGGTACAACACTTGTAGCCAGATTGTAGCCAAACATGACTGATGTTCTTTGATTTCATTTTTCCACTTCAGAATGATTTTTTAAGACCTCCTACAATGAAATCTGTCCTCTGAAGTTTTCCTGATTGATTGTTTTTCTGATTGATGTCCTATCAAGTTGGTGTTCTTAGTCATACACATTTTCTCCAGTCCCCAATTTGGTGCCAACAATGCACCTATTGCTATTGTACTTGAGTCTACCCAATTGCTGCTGAACATCTTTTTACTGTATTTCCCAGTATTATAGACTTCTCAGAGAATGAGATCTTCACATGTGCCCAAATATGAACAAAGTTATCCTACTATGACATCTTCTCATAGCAATCCTTCTCTGTACATTTAGGGCAAGACAAGGCAACACTGATGAACATTTTCTCAAGATTGAATTATTTCCCTCATCCTAGAAATATGTCTAATTACAAAAGTAATCAAAAGTACTTTTACTTTACTTAAGACATAAGGTAAACTGCCTCATATGAATAATCATAGGGTAAACTTGATTATTAAGGGATGTAGTGGCTCAGTGGCTAAGATGCTGAGCTTGTCAATCAGGAAGGTTAGCAGTTTGGCGGTTTGAATCCCTAGCACTGCATAATGGAGTGAGCTCCCGTTACTTATCCCAGCTTCTGCCAACCTAGCAGTTCGAAAGCATGTAAAAATGCAAGCAGAAAAATTGAGACCACTTTGGTGGGAAGGTAACAGCATTCCATGCACCTTCAGCGTTTAGCCATGCCGGCCACATGACCATGGAGACGTCTTCGGACAGCACTGGCTCTTTGGCTTTGTAATGGAGATAAGCACCAGCCCCTAGAGCTGGAAATGATTAGCATGTATGTGTGAGGGGAACCTTTACCTTTAAACTTGATTAGTTTTCTAATACTCTTTGGTTTATTCTCTACAGAAAAAAACTATATAATCCCACAACACAGACTATCCTGTACTTAAAAAATAAATAATTTTATGGTTCTATTTTTCTGCTGTTCTAAGGAATTTAGATTGATCACATAGGACAATACAGCATAAGAATAAGCAATGACACATGCTGCACTGACTGATATTGAATTAATTATGTAACTAAAAGCCCACTACCTATGTTTATAAAAATAATGCAGTTAGAAATCTAAAGGAAACTTTGCAAAAGAAACAAAAAAGAAAATGCACACATTTATGTAAGGGAACAATGTTTGTAAATTATTCACCAAATAGCAGAGGGATGACTTACCAACGAATGATTTTATCTAAGAACAGCTGCTTGAAGTGTGCTATAGATTGAAATGTGCCTCAATAATTGCCAATATACAGGAACAGAAAATCTATTTCAATTCAATGCTTACAAACAAAATCTTCAGCCATAAAGCATATATAGCACCAAAATGTTTGTCATCTATTTCATCTATTTCATCTATTTATATCATCTATTTCATTTATTTATCTATTTATATCATCTATTTCATACTGGGCATGAAATTATTTGCATTTTTATTGTTGATATATACATCCATGATGCTGAGTGTAATTTGATAGATTTAGTAATCTTTATGTTGGGAATTACTTTAAATTTCATACTTCATAGCTTAAACTTCTGGTATAATTATTTAGATTACCTTTGTTCCCTATAATTAGTCTCACAAAGAGTTGCAGAGAATTTGAAAGCTTCCCATTTTTATTTCTTTCTGAATATCCAATTGCATTTAAAAATAATAATTTAAAAAACATAAACAGGAAGCTGGCATACTACAAAGGAAATAATCAGCCTCTAGCATTTTATTTATTTGTCACAAAGTATTTGGCACCTTCACAAAGGTGCCAATGGGACGATAGAAATTATCCTGGAGGGCTAGTTGAATTTCCAATAAATTGACATTTGTAACTGTATATGCTCAAACTGGTAACCATTTTGTTAATAGGCGAGTATTTCATGGTAGCCATTTTATATAACACAACCAGTTATAATTCCAAATATGTCCCAGACCCCAAAGTTTGCCTTTCCTTGCCAGAGATGTCCAAATACCATTTTTCTCACCTAAAACTTCCTCAGAGCATTGCAATATAAAACTGCTACAAATAAATTAATAAGTAAGACATGAATTAATCAAAGAAATTAATACTGGATGACTTCCCAATAACTTTAGTGGCCTTTAAAGATGAATACTCTATAGCTATATAGATATAGGAATAGATATAGATGTAGATATGTCTGTTCTAGAATATAGCTACAAATTTACTGAATGGGAGGAATTGTTTTTTTTTTCTCCTTAAAAATGCTACTTATCACTGTCAAAAATTGCCTAAGCGGGGATAAAAAAACAAAAAAATAAAATAACCATATGAAATTATAGAAATTAAAATACATTAGTATGAAAATAATACAAAATAAGAGAAACCCAGCATCAATAAATTTTACCTAAAGCTTCTATTAGCTTTAGATTATAAGGTTATCTTTCCCTGGTTTCTATCCTTCCGTTCAAAATGTAAGGGCTTCCCATAAGCCCTAAGGCATTCTTAGACATACATACCCAAAGAATTGGGATTCCTCCATTTTGCCAAATCCATGGATCATATCTCTACGCTTTCTTTCAGGCAAAAGACCTTGGCAGGTCAGTTGAATGTGGCACTATTTATGAAAGTGAACGCCTGTCACGTGGACTTTTTGAATTAGACAATACATTTTATTTGTTTAGGCTTTCAAAATAGTTAATTATCTAACTATTACCTGATAACTTTGCCTCTTAGGATGGATCAGAATAAACTATCTGTAAATACTGTTTGAAAAGCAGTGTATAAATCTTTTTAAATAAACTACATGAGAAAAAAATAGACAAAAATTGAAAATTAAATCATGCTCACATTTGATTGTGAAAATAAATATTGTAGGAAAACTGGGAAAGTTATTATTTATTCTGGTTTTAAAAGCAGGTTTTTTTTTAAAAAAAGAAATGTATAATGTGCTTAGTGTTGCTTCACATTGTGAGATGAGTGACATATAAACTTAATAAATAAAAATAATTAAGAAATTTGATGGAGATTCTCAGTCATTAAGGTCATGGCTGTCCCAAAGGTGTTTTTTCAAGTGGCAACTGGACTTTCTGGTTTTTCTTTGAAGACGTTTCGCTTCTCATCCAAGAAGTTTCTTCAGCTCAAGAAGTTTCTTGAACGATAAACGAAACGTCTTCAAAGAAAAACCAGAAAGTCCAGTTGCATCTTGAAAAAGCACCCTTGGGATAATTAAGAAAGTTGTATGTTGTTCAATTGAGGCCATATCCTCTCACAGCAATCACAGTGAAAAGAAATACAGTGATGTCAACACCTAAGTGCAACTATTTTAACTTAACAAGCAGGAGAGAATTTCAGGGACTGAATTTGAGAAAGAATTCTTGCTTCTTGAATTAGTACCTTAACTATCAAAAGCCACCAGAAAAGGCAGACACCAAACCTTAGACAGGCAGGAAAGGCCCATCTCTTAACACTTGCCCAAATGACACTGCTTTGAAATTGAAACTGACCATAACAACTTGGGGAAGGATTTATTGCTTCTGGAACTGACAGGTAAACATTCCCTCTCTCTAGCATACATATTCTGTTTACAGCTCAACAGGAAAAACAGACAACAAAAAGTAAAAGCCAGTTAAACTAACAAACCCTGCAATCTTCACCCAACCTAAGATTTAAAAAGTTCATCAGCCCAAGAATTTATCTTGAGCCAAGGGTTGTACAGCAAACTATTGTATTGCAAAAACGAAACAAGTAGTTTTGAGCTTATGCAATTTAGCTTTTTCTTTGGTTGCCTCTACGGACCGACTAAGACGGTATACATGGCAGCCTAGCTCATTTTGGCCACCAAATCCAGCATTATCCATGGTATATTTTAAAAAACACAATGGAAATTTATCGCTGCCTGCAGTGAATAGCTTTTTCCTTCTCTCTTCGGAAAGGGGGCGCCAAGTGTGTGTTAGTAGGCGGAACACTGAAAGCACCTTGCCCCCAAATCGCCCTAGGCTAGCGTCACTTCTTTAGAAAGCGATTCGTCGATTTGATAAACAACATTTTTCATGTAGCGCTGGTGGCATGTTAGAGCTTTGCTTGCAGAGTCGGACATACACATCTGCTTTGTGAAAACTGCACCTCGTTAATTCTGTCGTCTCAAATAACTTCCATAAGAAAACAGGGCAACCTTATCTTGTTCATAACACACGCAAGGGGTTCAACCCCTGCACGTGTCACTCAATGGCAAGTATTTACCACTATTTGCGTATACACACAGGGAGCCAATCACGTTAAGATTACAGCCATACGTATCTTAGTGACACACACATACAAGGAAACACGGGTTCGCCGCGCGCGCGCGCGCGCGGGTTAACTGTTCGCAGGTAAACATAAAGCGCTTTGCACGTGCCTGAACTAAAATATTACTATTGGGCTAAACGGCCTTTTCGGCTTCGACTCATAAAGGGGCATGCACATCTTTTAATTTATTGAGGGGGGGAAATGAAATATATGCCCGTCTCCTTCGCAGGACATCTGGTTTCCACTACATGCAAGCGGCATGGTGTCCCGGCCGCGGCGCGGGTATGTTTTTCGTCGCCCTTTTCACTTCCTGCACCCACAACTCCGGTCTCTTACCTGGGCCGGCACGGCCCAGCCCGGTTCCGCAGTCAGGGTCCTCCTTTCTTTCCGGGCCTCGCTCCGTCCCACAGCCCTGCCCCCGTCACAGCCTTGGTTCCAGCCACAGCCCTTCCTGCCTCCGCGACCCGCCTCCCTCCCTCTCTCTCCCACGACCAGACCCGCCTCCGTTGCCGCCCGAAAGCGGGGGCCGGTACGACTAGCCGAAGCTCCCCTTGTCACAGCCCTCTGCTGTTCTTCATACAGCTAGAGAAGTGGTGGGAGTCTCTAGGCGACTACAAGAAACGCCCGCTTTCCCTTCTTTAAGGAGTGCTGTGTGTGCCAACCTCACCCCGACCGAGAGGCACAACTTCCCCATCAGCCCCTCTCCAAAGCGCGCCAGCCCAACTCGCACACTATACCTTCGGGCCACAAACAGTGCATCAACCGCGCACACACGCACTTCCCCGTCCGGAACCGTACACTCTCACATTCACTTTTGTAGCAGAGAGGGCCCCACCTCCAACCCAATGAATGTACTTTCTTTCAGCCTCAGGAGTCTTTGACTACAGCTCGCGATGCTGTCACAAATTCTTTGCTCTTCAGAATTGGCGTAATACGTACCGTTAGCCCGTTGAGCTTTTTGAAGGGCTGCGTGCTGCATTCGAATTCTTGATTAGTTTTAAGTTGTTTCGTTTTCTTTCGTTTTCTTTCTGTTTACTTCGATCGAATTTAGGAAATGGGCCAGTTCAATAAACAACTCAGCATTACACAGCACAGTATCACCCCAATCTTACAGTCTTCTGACTTTTTAATTTTTTTTCCCTTTGTGCTGCTGCTGCTGCTGTTTGGAATAGGCTTTCTCATCCTACATACACAGCTTTCATGGGGTATGTAAGTTATGGAGGTGGGGGCAGAAACATGGCCTCATTTTGGCCTCTGGTTTGCTCAACACACAATTAGCATTGCCATTGCTAAACACAACCCAGTTTTCTGAGTTCACATGCTGTAACTGCTATAACCTACTGAGCAGGTACTGAATCTCATAGTATAAGGCTGAGTTCTCACCACCATATGCTGAGACACACATACACACACACACACACACAAAACACACAGAACAAAGATCTAATTTTTTGATCTCTACTTTTCTCCGTCTACATTTTTCCTTTGAAAGACCTTCCCAAAACTCACTGGTTCATGGAAATCTTTGGCACAAAAACCTTGCCATGCCTAGACAGCCTATGTCTTAAACAGTGAAACATGTAATGACATGAACATGTCTTTTGTTTGCAAAGGTGCTTCTAGGCAAATAATTCCTAACAGATTTGGGGCACTATTCCACTCTTCTTTCTTATCAGTTTTCCATTGTGTTTGCAATGCTGTTTGCATTAAGATACAATCATGTCTTGAAAATATGAGCAAACTAATGAGGAAGATTTGTGTCCCCATCTACATTAGAATCCTTTTTATGAAATAAGAAAATTGGAATAAAAGTATTGTCAGAAATAATGTTGGTCTCTCTTGTGGCAAATTTGCAAGTTTCTGAAGCTCAAAACAGAGTTCTAGAAATTATTCATTAATAGCAGTAATAATATTAGTAATCTGTAGTACAATGCTAGTAAACAGAAACATGTGACAGGTTTTCTTTTATATTACAGCTCTAACTCAGCCATTTTTTATATTTTCATGTTATGTACCTATATAAACCTACAAAGCGATTATAATGTAGCAGTCAATATAGAACACCATTGATCAAACAGTTCATGAATTTATGAAACAGTTCTAATAAGGTACAGAGGAGGAAGCTTGTAAATGCAGGTTCTGAGAACATGAACAGAGAATCTGAATAGCTTCCAGAAATAGATAATCTGCTTGAAAACCTGTATTTCCAAATCTCCAGGTTCCTAGATTTCCAATGATCCAAAATAGAATAGAAGAATTTTGGAATAAAACTTAATTAAGAATTAATTAATTTAAATTAACAAAGTTTACATATTGATGTGAATTAGGGAGATGATGTACTGTAATGGTATGTGGGAATGACCTTGGGAGACAAGTGGAAAAGTGCAGACTAGACAACTGTCAGAAAAAGAAGTAACTCAGTCTCGGGAAGGAATTTTGACATGCCAAACATCTCAGAAGGGACCATCCCTAGTTTCTCGGACAGTAAAAGTAAAAGGCAAGGAAATGTACTTTCAGACTTTCAAGATTCTGTTAATGTAGTCTTACAATAAAGTTAAAGCTAATATTTCTGAGTGTGCTTCTTCTGATATCAGTTGCAAGTCTGAAAATCCCTTCTTGGCCATTCATTATGCTCACATTCCATATGCAGATTCAGCTGCTGCTTGACTGACCATCGTCTTGGTTGTGGTTTTTCCACCTGTCTTCCACGTCATCTGCATATACCATGACAGGTGTCTGCCTGAGTCACTTGTTATAACTTCTTGTTTTGGACTTAATTCATCTTGTCACTTTGGGAACGGATGTGGCCTATTTCTGTCAAGATCATCTTCCTTATTCTCTACAGTACCCCACAAGCAGGAGCTTTAGGTTCAATCACTCTGCTTCTGATCACAGAGAAAGGAGGACAATCACCTGAACACCATGCCTCCCCTTTCTAATTACAGTATTTGGGCCAGAAGGATATAACGGATGATCAATGATACTAAAAACCACTTAGATCAAGATTTAACTGCTTCTGCCAATAGCTTCTATTTTTATTAATTTTGTTTCTTCCTCTTATTTCAGCTTTTGATCTCTGATTTCTTTCAATTGGTCAATCATCCGTACATTAAGAGGCTGATAAAAATAAACTCATATAGTTCTATCTTCTTTCATTCCACACAGTTTTTTTTCTGAGGTGAAAGTAGAGCATTTCCTAAAGCTTATGTTAAATAATACCACTAAGTGACAGCAGTTTTCACTTCACTGCATCATGGCAAACAATATGGTTTAGAGTGAGCTTTTACCAGTTTATG